TTTGATTGTTAAGATAATAATGCTAAACTGTTAGTGATATTTTGCTTGGAAGGAAAATCAATTAAACTTTTTTATAGTGCTTTCTTTATTTGCTCCAGGAATGTGATAGAAAAAATGCCTTGAGAAATTATTGTGTTAATATAGATCGAGTTTCGATTTCGAAACCTATTCGTGCATACAGGAGAAGACAAATGCTGTTCTTCGTGACTTTGCAAATACTTTAAGTGACCTCTTTGCTTTGGCTTGTCACAAGCGGTATGTCTGAGGAGAAAGTTCATCTTCGTTGAATAGTCTATAGGTGCAACCTGTGCCAGAGACGGCTGGTAGCACAGACTTTGTGCCAGGTTTAGATCTGCAAAGGGAGAGTTGGAGACGGCTGAAACAGGCGTAAGAGCGAAGCACTGAGAGTTGAAGGTACAAGTGAAGACAGGCAGGGGGCGGGGCTGTGGACGTTATTACATGACCAAAGTCGGAACCGCTTCGGGGAGGTTTTGACATGTAATTGGCATGGTATGGCGGGCAGGTCGTACTGCATTCGCCCTTCAACTTGGTCCGCAACTTGGAGCGTCATGGGAATTCAAAACTCGGTCACTTTGTGGCTGGTGAATTTATGATCGTCGGATGCTAGAGGGGGAATGTTAGAGTAGTTTCGTCCTGATAAGGCCAAGCGTCTGTTCCTGATTGTTCTGAGACTACTGCGCCCTACGCGAACTTCCATAGAACTACGTTTAGAATTTTCGTAGGATATGTAGATAAATTTTCTTCACCAGTAATCAAGAACATGTTTTTTTATTTTAATGCGGGAGCGGTAATGTTTACATGTAACAATCAATCCAACCTGCAATTAATTTAGAGAATTATTGACGTCGGTAATGCTGATAACTATTTGAAAAATGTAATCTTAATTTTTTAATGCCACAGTTCTTATGTTCTCGATGACATTTAGTCTATCAAAAGGCAAGACTTACAAATATTATTTAGTCAATCTACCCATGTATAAAGTTTCTTTTAACGAAACTATTGAAAATATTTTTTGTGTTGTTGAGTTAACACTGCAAGTCATAAGGAAGTCAATAATTCTTAAAAAATCTACGCAACATAATAATATCTATTCGTAGCTATTAAACGAAAGAAGTATCTTTGATGCACAATAAAAGTGACACAGGATTCAAAACCTCCAAGAAATATATCTTGGAAATAATCTATTTTAGTAAAAGTTTCGTTAAGATAGTTCACAAGACAGCCGAGATATACAGGATAGTCAAGAAATTCCATTTGAAGTATATTGTATAAACGATTCAAGATATTGAGATGGAATTTTCATCTAACAATTCAGGGCTTAGGGTCTAGTCAGTTGTAGTTATGAGCTATTTAATATCATTTTTTTATTTTAAATATATTTTTCTAACTTGGTTTTTGTGAACGGGACTCTATAGCTTTTTACACGAATGGATAGGTTTTGAAGACAAATTCAGCAATATTACATATCTTAATATTTGATTAAATATTGAAAGCACTAATAACTTTTGAAATCCGACGTTATAGCAGGGCGGGAGTTTGCGATGCGGCAGTCATTCGCCAGTTTAAAACATCGCAGAGTAAGACGCCTAGGGCGTTGTGACCTCTAAAGACAATCGACTTCGGGGTACCGAAATATAAATAATGCAGGCTGAGTGGCCCGGAGCATGCGGAACAAAGACCGGGAGAGGTGAGTCAGGGCATCAACTGATGTCACTGCAGAGCCTCTGACCGGGAGGTTCTAGGTTCGAGTCCCGACGGTGCCAGAATTTTCGACACTAGCTACCTAGATCGAATTCAGGAGCTGACTGGGGGAGAATTCTTGCGGCCGACTGCTCTTGTCGGGAATTTTCCGCGGTTTCTCCTATGAACACCAGGCGCATGCCGGAGTAGTAACCTAACAAATTGACCGCGGACCTTACGCGATGTTTCCTCCCTATTCCTTTCCCTACCCTCCTTACTGCTCACCACCTTACACACACTGGCACGCACTACAGTCCCACACATATCAGGAGACCAGTCGGGAGCTTGGAGCTTTTTCCGACTGGGGCGGTTTCCTGCTGGTGGGAGATTCCTTGTTGGGGAAAACCCCTCTAACTGACAGTAAGTCGGCGCCAGATCTCGCCATCCAGCGGGGGAAGATTAACGCCACCTCCCGAGGAGTAAACATGCACTACTCTTACGGGAAGAATGACCTCAGAATTTAACGAATTTGAAATCACAAACAAGCAGAGCGAAGATATGTAACTCTGCTTCACGTTGTTTTTGCAGACAGTTGACGTAGAAACTTTTAGAACTTTGCAATCCATTTGTGGTATTTGTTGCTTGACTCCAGGAAAAGTTATTTTGTTTTGTTAATGGTTTAAGGGAAATTCACGAGTACATACTGGAGAAATTAGAGCACTTACATTCTAAAAAATAGTAAAAATATATTGCTGTTACTGAAGAAGTTACAACTCAGTTCAATACGCCCTTGTCTCGGAATATCACGATTTTTACAGTGAAGCAGAGCAAAGTATTTCTGTATTTTTACTGCCTTTCGCACACCTAACGCAGAGACAACGGTCTCATATTTGACGCGCAGTGACTTCAAACAAGTAGCAACATAATATTTACCGTGGAGCTTATTTCAGAAAACTTACCCTATCTCACATCATATAAGTCAGCTCCTTTAAAGAAAAATATGCCTGATTAACAATGCTACCTGTTAAAACATGCCGGTGATTTCCTTGCCACTTCGATTGATTTTTGTGGACGGAGAGTGAAGTCACTTCTAAGACTGTAACATGTGAGGACTTTGCAGGGGGGTGCTTGGAAGGGCGCTTGCACCTCCCTGCGCTTTTCGACTTGAAGATCGTTGGACTGCCCGCAGCACGAACTTCTGAGTATTATTATTTCTTATAACGCCGGATTTCGTCATTTCAATACACGTCTCTTCGTGTAAAATTGTATACTGTTCTATTAAAAAAAGTGAAGTTAGTCCAACATTTTTAAAATAAAAAAACTGCTATCGAAAACTAATAAGTACAACTGATGAAGCTGTATGTCCTGAATCGATGGGTGAAAATGTTACAATATATTTTATACAACAATCGTTTAGAAAATATTCGAGGTGGACGTTTTCATTGACTAACCCTTTGTTTGTTAATGGCTGATATTAAAACCGATCTGCAACAAAATAAGAATTTTGAAAATGTGTGATGTCACTTTTCTTGGGCAACGATGTTATACGTAGTTTGAAGAGTACTTAATACATTTACTTCTAAATAAAATGAATATTGGAGAATAGGTTTTCAGCACCATGCTGTCTTAATCACTGATTAATATCCTTAGGCGAGTAATTTTAGAATATGAGATATCGAGTGTATGATTGAAAGAAAAACTATCTGAGAACGAGTTAACTTGTACGAAACGTGTGTGCAAAGAGTGTAACAAATTTTTCCCTATCCGAGAAAAAGCTGACATTCGTTGAAATTCAATTTGTTGTAAACTATTTAAATTATTTTCATGATGGCTAGATATATCGTTATCAAAAAAAACAACAAACGAATCACACAATTGAACTTGACCTCTTTGTTGACACTTGATCTTCCTTCCCCTAAAGCTGAGAAATACTTGTATGTACAGTGTTAATAATCCCAGCCACTTGAATCAGTTGGAGTAAGATTAATCAACCACCAAACTCCAAAGAAAAGAAAACGTTAGTAACATTCCGCAATCCACTCCGAGCATGAGACACTTCACACGCACGACCAGGAGACAGTGCAGCGGGGTGGCACTTACCGGCCAAGCACTTGTTAGCCCAGGACTCGGGGACGAAGGCGAGGCAAAGCAGGCCGGCTGGAAAAACACACAGGCGCTGTGGCCGGCTCCGGGGCCGCGGCTCTGGTCCACGACCCCCCGCCCACACCTGGACTCTCCCCGACTGGCACGTCGCGTCGTGCACATAACGGGTGCAGCGCACTGGTACTATTTGGCCGCGTACGGTGCAGAATTATTGATAGGATTTCTAGAACTGCAGTTTCTGTTGGTTATGTAGGTTCAGGGAACACAGACGTCAGTATTTTTCTATTTGGGGTTTACCATGTTTTCTATTTGGGTTGCTAATTTTTCGTTTTCATTAATTTATAAATATTTTTGAACTTTAATGAATTATAATCATCAGTATTAATTTTTATATTCATAAGTATTTACAGAAATACAGAAATTTATTTATAATAATGTGTGCTAATACTGCAACTGTTCTTTAAATAAATTAATAAATAAATGCATCAAAAATTGGATTCTTAAATTAATAACAATTATCGACACTTATCGAATATTTTCTCTACGACCATAAGCATTTTTTCTTACTTTTCAAATAATTATTATTTTACTATATTTTAATTAAAATGCTAACATTGATTATCATCTTATTTCGAAAAAAAATCAAAGTTAAATATTTAAACTGAAGTTCTCGTTAACAGCTATTTTCTTTATAAGTGTATTTAAATATATTTATTATGTATGTCGATGTTGCATTTTTTCGATATTTTTCTTTTATAGATTGTTGTTTATGAGAATATAGCACTTGTAAATATGATGGAGAGGTTTGTGGGAATGAATCTAATGTTTCGTTGGCTCTTTAGTCCCATTCTGAGCATAACTACGAATAAGGATACTATAGAAGGTTCAGTGCATATTGATGAGCATTTACATACATACCAATGTATATCCAGAATGGAATCATAGATGTACGCCTTGAAGTCAAAAAAGGAAGAAATTGTCTCTTCACGGTGTGCTGCTTATATGTTGTTGAAGCATCGTAGAATGAGACTTTAGAAGAAGCTCAATTTGCATGAATTTCACTTCCAGTTTCTCATGTCACCACTTTTCTGCAAGTTCTTTAACTGCTATAATTACACCAACATACACTGCCAGTGATTTTTCACAGGTAACACTTTCATTTAAGCTCTCGAGTCCCGAGAAAACACACATAAACACACCAACTAATTTGACATTAACACTTTTTCTGTTTGTTGCTCTTCACTCTAGTTGAGAATCACAAGAGACACTGTACTTTGGATGAGAATTCACCGTACAGACGTCATAAAAACGTCGGACTGTGAAGAACTATTAATGTAAACGAGAATTCCAGCAAAATATAAGTTTATAGGGCTTATGTATTGTCAATATGTTCGTGGAATGGTATAATAATATGATACAATAAATTTATGGAGGACAATTTTATTTTTTTCTCTAAAACCTTTTATTCAGAACACTGGATTTAGATGAATATTTTCTCTTTAGAACATAACAGTTCAGGAGCCATGTTAAAGTATTCAACTTGAATTGCCTGGAGAAAAAAATGTTGATAAGAAGATAGATTACTAACTGTCAAATTGCTAAAGCGAAAAGCATTGTCTTTGAATAATTCAAAGAAACTCTTTAGATTCACTCTATTCGCTATCTGAGATTTTGTCCGCAAACTTTCAAATATGAATTGCACAATGTTAAATCTTTGTATATAACGTTTATTTAGAATCCTTTTCTAGTTAGAGATGTACGAAGCACATGAAACAGACGAGGCTCTCACAGAAATCACGTAAACGAACTTCGAAATTTGTTTACATTCGGTCTAGTTAAGTTTGGAGGTAAAGCATACAAACACTTGAAATAAAAAAAAACAAACAGATCAAAATCTCGCGTAATATGTTTGCCCGGAAGCCGATCCCACAAAAACTATAGATAAGTATACACCTCAATTTGATATGAAAATAGTTCTCCGGGTACAATTTAAAAGCCTTGTGGACTAAAAATTGATGAAAGTTAACCCAATTTAATATCGTGGTATGTAGCATAAATATTATCAATGCCTGAGTGGTTAGGAAGAATCCTAGTTGACTAACTCAACAAAAAATGATTAAGAATATGTATCTTATCATTTACTTAATAATATGTATAATAACTTTTTCATCTAGCATTTTACGAAGTTAATGGAGACCAAAGTACGCTATATTGATTACAAAAATGAAAGTTATGCAATACTAAACAATATTACAAAATTGTAAAAAATTTTCTTAGAGATTTTTAGAAAATGAAAAGCAAGATTTGCGCTTTATTTTGCAGTAATTTACCCGTAGACAAGGTTAGTTTATTTGAAAGAATAACCTACTTTCGGGTTCATTGTACTCAGTAAGTTAAAGCTCGGCTTTTCAAATGTATTAAAATAATTTGAAACTATGATAATTAAATATTATTAAGATAAAATTATCATAAATATTACTTTCGGAGTACTTTATATATATAATGCTTGAGTGAATTTGCATATACATTTCGAAAATTGCAAAATATAAAGTAAAATAGTAAGTATAGTAATAATAAGTGTAGTAAAATTACAAAGTATTGTATTGACATAAAATATATTTTTTATTATACATTTATACTATAATATTAAATATTATTTATCATCACAATTAACAAAGATGCAATTATAAAAATACTAAAGATATTTTATCTAATTATATGATTATTATTTATGAAAATGAAAGCGTGTAACAAACTCGGTAAAATAATTGACATTATTAATCACGAAACGAAATGTAGAACGACTAAGAAACCTTTAAAATTACGCAAGCTAAGCATTTCAACCACGAAGAGGAAACTACCCCGTGTCACCTACTCACAAACAATAGCAAAACGCTTGACTACAACCTTGGTGTCAAAGCCGCCCATCAGTCGACACGATTTATTACTTGAAGGTCTTCCAGCAGTGAAAACACGGTATCACCTCTCGACGGGCGAGTCTTCGACAGGCGTCCACAAAAATCACTCGGCGGCAACGCACGGCCAGGGCGCACGGGGCCCGAGCCGACCGCACGGCGCGCGCGGCAGGCGTGGCGCGGCGGGCGCGCGGGGCGCGGCGTGCTGTGAGCGGCGCGTGGCGGCGGGCGCTTTGCGCCGTCGTGCGTGCGCGCGGTGCGTTCGGCAGCGGCACGCGACTGTCGCATCCCGCCGCGCCGGGCCGCCCGGCCCGCCGCCTCACCGCGACGCCCGCCGCGACGCCCGCCCTCGCAGCCGCTGCCGCCCCGGCGCGCAGTGCACCTGCTCTCGGAGCCGCGGGCGAAAATTACTTTCCGATCTCTTAAATTACTTTCTCGTCTTATCACGTAGTAGTGAAGAGGAAGTGTAATCGTGCGGCGGCAATCGGAGATTTTTCGACGGAAAAACTCACACATACGTTTGACAGAAAGGAACAGCCTGAATATGCACACTTCTTACAGCGATTCAAGTTTTTGATTTTAATGTAAATGTTTATATTTTTGTATTCAAATGGTTACTTTCTTAGTTTCCAATAAGTTACCAGGAGATGGCTAAAACACGTTACCGACTTGTGATGACTAATTGAAACAATAAATCACAGTTAAAAACAAAAACAAAAAACAACAACTCATTGTTATTAATTAAAAAGAAAATGGTTTAATTAAGAATACATTTTATAGACAGGCCCTGGACACGAAAAAAGTGGCTAAATATTGTTCATATAAATGCAAAATTACATTAGCTAACTTCTGTAGTCAAAATTCATGTTCTAAGGATTTTTGATACCAATAAATCGATTGATGGCCAAACGTCTGTCTGTTGTCAATGTTAGTCTAAACAGTTCACATGTTTTTTTTTACAAAACATGATATTTATAAATTGATCTGGCCGAAATCGAGTCTCTGTGTCTTTGAGATCTTTCAATATTTGGGTATACTTTACATGTTCAAAATTTTCTCAAAAATGACTCCAAAACTTTTGATTAAACTATATCCTTGGATTGCGTAAAGAACGGATAAAAGAACGGCGCAGGTATAATTTTCATTAAACTTCCTAGTTTTTCGAAGATTGAAAAAGTTCAAGTTTGTGTCAATTTTTTTCGGTGTCATCCTACAACTACAATTTTGAAGATGAATCATAAATTTTGAAGATGATTTATTTCTTTAATGAAATCTGTTCGTGAAAGAAATAAATTCAGATACAATTTTTCAAAAATGTGAGTAATTTTTGCGTAATATTGCGTATAACGTAAACAATTATAAATATTTTTTTAATGTCAGCTTCAGATTTGTTTCTTAAATGACTTTTCGAATAGAGCAAAGTACTTTAATAAAAAAAGCACAACTCCCGTTTTCGGTATATATTCACTGAATTTTTGAAATTTGCAACAAATTAACATTGCAATTGGTGATAGTTATTACCTCCCTAATAAAATATGTTGTAAAAAGTTATATTTTGAAAAAAGTCTTGCACTTTTTTGGAAAAAACGAATACTTTTCGCGTAATTTTGGATTAAATTTACTGTAATATTTTTAAAAATTATCAAAAAGGCTCCAAATTGATTAATTGTTTTTTGTCTCAGATAGAACAAATACTGCTTAGAATTGTAGAAGTCTCATTTTCATTGAACTATCTGAATTTCAAAAATATTCATATTGCTAGAAAGTATGTTCTGTTGTATCTCCACTAGTTACTTTCTTGTACACCATTAACAGTAGCGGCTTCTCAGAGCAGGGAAAAGAGGAAAGCCCTCCTTACGTATATTCTTTTTTTAAATCTTATTAGCATCTAAGACATTTACTTTGATGTTTGAGGAAAATGTATATTGTTTTAGTTGATTGCTATGAATGATTTACTTTCATCGAGTTTTAAGCAACGAGAGCATTTGAGCAACGCTAAAACTATCGACATTGCTCTTAGGAGGATCAGCCAGCTTTTCCTTCTATCCAGGGTTACCCGCCCACAGCGCTCCTGAAGAGTCGTTTGTATTGGCGAAAGGGAGAAATTCCTTCCTTGATTGATCATCGATCTAATGATGTCTCTTTCAACTCCATCAACGGATCAAAAGTCGTTGCTGCGATGAGTTAAGAGGAATGGCTGGAGGACGGTTTAATCTTATACCAGTAACGTGGGCGGCGGAGTCCCTGGTGAAGGTTCATCCCGAAGCAAGAGTACTGTCTTATTCCGTGGCACGTAATTAGAAGACCGTAGGTACGTAATTCCGTAGGCACGTAATTTTAAGAAATTATAAGAAATAATTCCTGATGAAAGAGAAATTAATTGTCACCACCTAATAAGGACACATTTTATTTTTAATTGATTTCAATCATTGTTGGTGTTATTTTTACAAACTGTAATTGTAAATTGATATTTTTTAAATTGTCTTTGTCTTTTTGTGTTCTTAACCTTTTCTTTTTTCCGTTGTTTATTTTTCTCTCCCAATCTTTCTCTCATTTTCCATTTTCTTATCTTTTTAACATTCTCCATTTTTCTGTTTCTTCGTTAGTGTTTTAATGTTTACTTTTCAGTCTCTTATTGCTTCTAATTGATATAATTTGTGGTCAGTTTAACCGTACCTCAGTGGTCAGTGGTCAGTGGTAACCTGTCCCTTCGATGTCCTTTTCTGCGTTCATCGTATCATTACTTCAACAGTATTCTCTTGCTAGTAATCAAATTCAACAGTTTATCTTCTGTTTATTCTAATTCGTTGCTGGTCAAATTATGAAGATTTAGTTCTCAATTGTCGCATCTACGAATGAATATTCACAGATCTTGCATCCCTGCGGTCTGTTTTATCACCATTTTCGTGAAATCAATGGAAAATATATAGGCATCACAATTTGTAATTTTTCTATTGATTATTTATTTTTATAAAACTCTAATGTTGTTTAAGATTAGTTAATCCATATTAATAGGCAAAAAATTGTATTTTTATAGAAATTAGATAAAAATGTTTCTTTCTTACTGTTTTGTAGCCTGTAATTGTTTTCAGTAGTAATTACTTGACTGAAAGTTGCTGGGTCAAGAGAATATATCGAGTTTCCGAATCACTTGTCTGTACCCACCTTTACGAGGCTGGAGTGGAGTGATTTTCAAATATTATTTGTTTTATTTATTTTGGTTGTGGAAGGCAAAGTATTTATTTGCACTAGAGCAATTACAGAGAAATAAACAATATTTACATTCAAATACACAAATTACATGGAGACTTAAAAACATTTTCCTCATATTTTATTTCTTTGATGCTTCAAGTCTTCGTAGGTGAGTAATATGTACGTTGCAAGTCATTGTCATCGACGTCCATAATGTTCGCACACCACAGTAATACAACTAGCGTTTGTTTCACGCAAAATTCACTTGGAGAAACGCTTGTCAATGAGGCTTCTACACCTACCAACGTTTGTTCCTAGATGATCCAGCATAATTGACCATCGGACATTCATTTGGATAAAGTCCTATTTTTTGGTTTCCTGTGAACCCATTTCTTCCTAAATGTCATCTTAGTTATCCCTTGAATGCTTTCACCAGTTTTCCATGACCATCCACGAGTATCATCTACCATACGTTTTTCGATGATTTGAGAGCACAAACAGTACTATACATTTTCGCTCATGTAGATTAGGTCACCGTGGCACTGTGCGGCTGCAATAACGGAGGCACCAACCATTGCCACCGTCACCATCGTTGTGGCCGCAGCTTCCTCCCCAGCAGCCGGCCGCCTGGGCATATACAGTCGGGACGCGGTATGAGGGGAGCGGCGAAATTTTTTCGTAACCAACTCCTGCCATAGCTCTATAAATACTAGAGAAGTGGTCGTGTGTGCGAAGTGTCACGGGCGAGCGAGTTGGTACGAGCCGGAAAACCATTTAAATGACGTTCTTCTACAGAAGGAATGCAGAGTTCAAAATTTCTCACAATTGGAAAATAACATTATGGGCAACTTAATTTTATAATTCAAACATCATGATATTTTAATGTTATTATTATTATTTTGTATTAATAGATTAAAACATTGCTTAGTGAAAAAAAACTTTTGTATTAAAACGTCAATTATAAGCCTTCAGCATTTGCCTACAAGCGGTCAAATACTTTTACTAAATTATTTGATATTTATTTGAATAATTAATATAATATATTATAATCAGTGACGCCTCTACGAGGTGGGAGGTTCATGGTGTTTTAGGCCCCAAGAAGCCGACAATATGTTCACAAATATAGATTTTATTACTTTTTATTTATTACAACAAAATCTATTCATTTGTTTTGATTTATTTAGTCAATGAACAGCAAAAAGAATTTGTGACATTGCGGTGAAGTACCATCTGCGTACGTTTTCTTGTGCTCGAGAATCGCTTCTCAACATTTTAACTGTAAATAATTGAATGATGAGAAAAATATTTTAAAAAAAGAGAGGTTAGCAGCATTTGAAAACCTTTGATATTTTCGCTCCCGAGATATAAAAAACGTATTTGCATCGGTAAATGAACTGCAGATTTCATTGATTTGTATTTCTAACAAATAGTGTCACACCATCGGCTCTACTCCTACCACTAAAACAAAACGAGAGCACAACAAAACGTGCGCATAGTGAAGCCACATTTCATTAGTTTAATTGAATAAGTTATAAATAGTAACTATAATTTAGGAAATAAAAATTTAGGAAATAAAACTTTAAATTCGGACTAACGTTTTTTTAAGTAAACATCAAGTCAGCTGATTACTTAATGTAAAAGCATTCTTGCGCGTGTCTTGTTATTAAACAAATTTGCTCTTTAGTATATATAAACTGAAAGATTTTTTGGGATCCATTTTATTGCCCAATTCTATTTTACTGTCGAAAATATTTAATGTACATAAAGTACTTAGTGTTTAAACACAGGAGTTTGTGTATTGGTAAGTGTTATGAATAAGTTAGCTTGTTGTCGGTTTCTCAATAAAATATCGTTTTATTGGCCACATTTTTGTATATCAAGGTTTTCTCGTCTTCAAAAGTATTAATATTCTTTATGAGTTGTAAACTATACAATATGTTAATCGTTTACTTGCTATTCTCAAAAACGTTTTGCTATTTCTAGCGCATTACAACCACTATCCACTCTTACATTTTAATATTGTTAAAGCTTCTGTAACTGAAGATGGTTTCGCAAAATTCTCATCGAAAATTTCGTAAGAATAAGCTTCAGATAGA